AGAGAATGATCTGGAACTAGACAGTGGTGAAGGTCACAGGGCTGTGACTGCACTAAAACCCGGGAGCTGGGCAGCTGAATGGGTGCACGCCTGGCGTGTGAATCACGCCTCGACAGCCGTGTGACCCGGCAGGTCCCGTGTGTCAGCGGCTCTGCAGGCCCGCTGCCCGGATCGGGGGCCAGGAGTGCCCTGTGCGGCAGCGCCTGGGCCAGAGGGGCCTTGGCGACGCTGACACTCCGTGGCTCAGGGCACTGGGGCTGTGAGACGACCCAGGCACGGACATCAGGGGCCCGCAGTGACGGCCCAGGAGGAGGTGGGCCAGTAATAACAAAGCCCCTGAGTCCTGCCCACGTGCCAGGCACCGTGCTAAGACCTGACCCAAATTTATGATTTAACCTTCACAACCCTCAGCAGTGGCTACATGGGGAACCTGAGTCATAATGAGGCAGAGGCCCTGGAACCTAGTGCACCAGGTGCCCTTTGAGGGTGTGTGAGCCCCGGTCTTTCCTGGCCAGCTCAGGAAGCAATTCCAGCTGGGCCGGAGAGCAGGACCACCCACCTGGCGAGCGGGACCACCCGCCTGGGAATGAGACCACCCACCTGCAGGTACTCCGTGAAGAAGGACCCCAGCTCTGTCTTCAGCAGCTGCCTGTGGGCAAGAGGGGAGAGGAGAGTGAGGGAGAGTGGGGGTCAGAGGGCGCCCTGGGACCCCTCCTTCCTGGCCCAGGAGCAGGAATGTTCCAGGCAGGGCGCAGCCTCACCGCACAAATGAGCTTCGAGAACCGAGGGGAAACCTCGGGTAATGGGGCCGTGGAGGGCTCGTCACAGACTCTCATGGGATCAACATGAATGGCCAGTCATGGATTTAACGCACAATTCAATTCACTTAATTTAATGTGGCCACACGGTGGGGAAGAGCTGGGGTGGGGACAGCCCTGAAGGACCCACAGGCGCTGGAGTCAGGGGCCGAAGTCCCAGCTCCAGTGACCAGTCCTCTGACCTCGAGCGACCTACGACCTCTCTGTGCCTCAGTTTCCTCATCTGTAAAATGGGATGATAAGGTGGCCCATTCCTCAGGCGCTGTGGAGTGTGAGGCATGGAAAGCGCAGGGCACGCGGCTGGCACAGAGCGAACTCTCAAAAGAAAAGCCCTGCTACCACCTGACAGTTCCCGGCACTTCGTTTTGAATCGGCTAAACAGAAGCTGCCCAGCCCGGCGGGCGTGGCTCAGAGGTTGAGCCTCGACCTGTGAACCAGGAGGTCTATGTTCTATGACAGTCAAGGGCACATGCCCGGGTTGTGGGCTCAATACCCAGTGTGGGGCGTGCAGGAGGCAGCCGATCGATGATTCTCTCTCATCATTGATGTTTCTCTCTCTCTCTCCCCATCTCCCTTCTTCTCTTAAATCAACAAAAATATATATTTTTAAAAAGACGTACTGTACTAAGTGCTGGCAGTACTGTGGTAAATAAAGATTGTGTTTGTCTAAAAAAGAGAAGAAGTTGCCCCAAACAGCCTATCTGGCCCAGTCACCTGACCTCTACCGGCTTCCTGGATAAGGATCACGGGGCTGTCCAGGGGGTCCTGGGGTCCAGGGGTACATTGCTGCCTCCCCCACCCCAGACACACACTCCGGAGGGAGCCCCTGTTCTCCTCAGCGAGGGCTGG